GACAGTTACCTTCTTTGCAGACAGGCCTGCTTGTTACGGCCACTTCCTCCAAACTTCAACATGTCCTGGCAGGCTTTGCATTTGCCACAGTCTGGTTGTTGACAAACCTGCGAAGAGAATTTGATTAGGACAAAACCCTCAAAACTGATGAAATGCACACAAGTCAGTTAAGGGAAGTTGGGCATTGCCATTTGTGATAAGTTCTGGAACAGCATCCCATCACTGGAAGGGAGGATAGGAGAGTATAGGTCTGCTTTAGCCAAAGATCTCATGGCAATGGGCATTTCACACTTGGTGTTGTGGTCACAAAAGAGTTAAATATGGGCTCCATTACTTCATATAGCCTCCAATCATTTAAACTTAACAATGGACATCACACACACTAGAGCTATACATACATGTGGCTGCATGGAGGTGGGCTTTAACTAGGGATGCACAGATACCAGTACTTCCGTTAGTATAGAGCCATCTTCCCGGGCATTAGGAAGGCTTCTTGATTGCCCGGGAAGCAGACTGCCATTCTGTTTGGCTGCCTGCTGATTGGCCGGCCAATCGGCATCCAGCCAAACCGATCTGACAATATGGTGATACGACCCAGGACCCAATTCCCCTCGCGTAGATCCTTAGCCACATTCCGGTGCATGCGCAGTAGCAGGCTGAGCACCGATCACGTGGGTGGCTGCGCACACAGGAAACGGCAGATCTGGCCGAGGGACTGATACATTAAAGAAAGCTGAGGATCTATGAGGAAAATTAGGGTGGGGGTCGTGTCTCTCAGATTCGTTTGCCCGGCTTGACACTGATTGGGCTGGGAAGCTGGTTTCCCAGCTAAGCAGCATCGAGCCGGCCAAACAGCATGGAGCCAGCTACCTGGCTCCATCTTTCCTCGCGGCACTGCCGGTCAGAGGGATATCTCCCACTGACCGGAAGTTTCTAGTATCGGGAAAGGTATCGGAGCATTTGGGAGAGTAGGAGCACTCGCCCAAATTCTCGGTACCGGTACTAGTATCGGTATATCCCTAGCTTTAACCCGTGTTGCTTTTAGGCTTGATCATGTGATGGGGGCACACATTTGAACACGCACCAATGAAGACATCTTCACTGGAGTGTGCCCAGTTGTGTGCCCCCATCACATGACCACAAAGCCTATGCAACACCTCTGGCATTATGAACCCTTAAAGGGCAAGCAACAGGAGCCGGCACTAAGGAGTTCGGTAAAACATGAATATACACTCAAGCAGACCATTTGTCTTAACAATGAACCTGTGAAGGTGGAATAGAAGCCTCCATTGCAGACATCTTAAGGGGAAAGCCATCCACTCAATTAACATTTAGGCCTTCGCATAAAAAGTAAGCACATACCTCACAAACGCCACAGCGCCTGCGCTTATTGTTCTCCTTCTCTTCGTTGTTCTCAATCTGTTCAGAGAAGAACGTGTCAAAGATGTGATACACCAGCCTGGTGGTTGTGGCTTTTGTGGGCCCTTTATCCTTTGAGATCTTGGTTGGATGTCGGATGGCTTGCTTCCTCACAGAACGCCTGCAGATGGATGGAAAAAAAAAAAAGTTGCAAGTCACTTGGCAGTCACCCATCGCTACCATCCCAATAATGTCAGCTGCGCCCAGGAGGAGAGCCAGGCACTCCCCTCTGCTCCAGGGAAGACGAGGGACTTCCAAAAAGGCATTGGGGGTCCAGTACAGAGCAGGCTGACACCACACTAAGGTTGGTAAGAAATTGGAATAGAAACCCTCGTGGGGAACTTCAAACCACCCCCCCCTCCCCAATGTTTGAGCCTCAAAGTGGTCAAACTTTGCCTGACGAAGGGGTCCTGTGAGGTTCCAAAACATTGCATTCACATGTCCTGCTAAAGGAATACAAATAAAGATGACATTACGAAAATAGAATGGTGTGCGGGCAACATATCTTCTAGACCAGAGGTGCCCATTAGGTAGATTGTGATCTAGCAGTAGCTCTCAGAGCTGATGCTGGTAGATCAGGAAGGGGGGGGGGGAGTTCCCCTTTATACAATTTTGGTATATTTAGCTGTGCACACATGATCACCTATTAGCCCGAGTCTGCTGAGCCGAGCTCCCCGACACCTTTCTGGGGGATACTGGGGGTTGAAGTGCTATGTATTACATCAAAGAATATCAGTTTACACAGCAAAATACAGCAAGGTGAGCCAGCCAGGGGAGAGAGGTTTTTTTTGTTGGTAGATCTCATGTAGCTCGTTATTTGAACAGTAGATCATAACACAAAAATTGTGGGAACCCCTGTTCTAGATTGTATGCTGTGGCGCCATCCATTAGTTCCAGCACCAGTTGGATTCCGGGGTACATTGGTAGTGTGCAAAGGGGATATTGCAGTCGTGTCACTGACCATCTCCTATAGCGCATCCCCAGTCTCCACCACCACCCATTGCATCCTGGCACTCTGTCCCTGCTCCAGTAACATGCCTGCAGTGGTATTTGTTAGACTATATGCGCTGTCCTTTGGCGATATGGGGGCTTTAAGTGCAGCCTGCATTATCAAGAGTTGACCACTGAGGTTTGCCATTTTTTGCTGCTCATCTGACCCAAGGCCCTGGACAGTCCGTCGAGACGTTAACAAATTACTGTAGATAAAGATTTTGGAACCCTTGTGTAATGAGTACAGTTGCAATGAAGAGAAAGAACCCCCCCCTTCCACATTATACTAGGTGCTGCATATGGCCTAACTCCAAATCTTACCACATCAAAAGGACCCACCTTTTACCCAGGGTAACACCGGCCAGCTTGATGAGGTCCCTCATGCAGGGCGTTATGATGATTGGCTGCTCATCGCTGTCTGCAGCGTCGTCATAACTCTCCACTTGCTCCACAATGAACTGCGCATGTCTCAGAAGGGAGTCTTCCGTGAAGCGGTTGAAGTTCAGACCGGCAGGTGGTACGGTTGTCTGAAACAAAAGATAAAGTGGTTTAGATCAGTCTGTAGAAACTAAAAAAAACATACCCCCCCCC